AGTTACAACTCATAAACAATCCATGAAACATAAGTACCTTCATGCTTTCAAGAAGAGCTTGAGCATCAGCTTCTGAGATGTCAGACTCCTGCAGAATGCAGAAAGTTACAGTGAGAAAACAAGGGGGTAGATGCATGTGTAGAGGGGCATATTTTAGCACATCAATTCCATCTGTCAAACAGAGATTGTTTTGATATATAATTGCAACAGGGGATTTCTGCTTGAGATGGAACAGAGAAGAGGGGCCAGGCCATATGTGCCAGGAGGACCCAGGTTTTAAAATATTTGAAAACAGGTTGACTACTTAATGTGGGATCCCAACACCTGGTACCATAACCACTATAGTGTGATATAGTGGCTAGATTAATTGTTTAAACATGTGTGCTTGATTTGCTTATTTTACGTCATTACAGTTGTAATCTGATTGTATCTGTTGATAAAGTGCAGATCTGTTCGAAAGTGGTGAGGGGTCTAAGTCTGCCCCTTAGGCCTGGTAGGGATTGCAAGTAAAGCGTGAAACGATGATAATTTAATTTATCTGCAAAAGTGTGGGGTTTGTTTGGTATGATGGTGTCCAATGATGGGAGCGAATCGGTGGTATATAGGTCTAGTGCTCATATGTTGTTTTTCTGGTTTGGAGCCAGCGAGATAGATCTGATGAGATAGTGGGGTTGTAGGTTAGTGATAGAAGTGGGGAGGTAGGAGAGGATAGATCGGTCTCTGATTTGTGTTATGCCAAATGGACATGGTTGGTTGTATGGTTGGGTGATGAGACGGGCATAGGTTGTGTGTGTTGTCCGTGTGCCATGAGAGTGTCTCATGTGAATGTCCAGTCCTGCAATCTCGCCAGTGCGTTAGCTATATAGAAGTTTCGGGCACTGGAATATCTCAGTACCCCCCCTATTTGGAGTGAGTGACATGTCCGCGCTGTTGAGTCGGGGCCTCCCACCCATCCACATTAACCTCGAGCAAGCTGCCTCCAAGGTGCAGAAAAAAGAATTTGGTACATGTATCAGGAGGGCTGTTAGTAAATAAAGGACTCTTGGGAGAATATTAATTTTGAGGAGGTTTAGTCATCCTGTCTATGACATGGTTGGTTTGTTCCATTGCTCCAGTCCGATTTTACTTCCCGGAGCAGGGAGAGAAATTCGCAGAGAATAGGTTGGACGTCAGCGTGGTCATTTTAATGCCTAGGTACGTTAGTGCAGTCATGTTTTCTCTAAAGCCCTGATCAGTAATTCTTAGCGCCAGTTATTCCGATTTGTCGTAATTATTGAAAATAGGGAGAGGGAACTGTATTGCTACATTTCTTAGATGATGGCTGGTAAGGATTGCAAGGGGTTAGTAAGCGAGAAAAGCAGATCGTCAGCACAGGTTGTGATCTTGTAGTAAAATGGGCCAATGCTGAATCCGCTAATCTCTGTATTGTTTCTTACTGTGTTTAGGAAGGGTTCCAGCATTAGCACAAATAGCAGGGGGAAGAGAGAACCCCTGCCTTGTGCCATTGCTGATATAGACCGGTTCTGAGAGCAGGCCATTCAGGCAGATGCGCGCCAAGAGGCAGGAGTACAGTGCTCCGACCCAACTTCTCCAGCCAGGGCGTAACCCAAATCCCCTTAACACTACCTCCAGGAAGGACAAGTTCACCTAATCAAATGCCTTTTTGCACTGGTTGAGGGGAAGATTGCTGGTATGTTTGAGTTATTGGCTTTAAAGAGGAGATTGACGGCTCTGGTCATGTTTTCATTTGCCTCTATTAGGAACAAAGAGTGGAACAAATTTCAAATCGCTGTTGAGTAAGGAAATTAGGCGGTAACTCCCGCATGACTCCGGGTCCTTGCCCGGCTTTGCAATCAGGTTTATATAGACTTCTAATATCTGTGTGGATGTCGTGCCACTATGGATAAGGTTGTTAAATGCTTTGAGAAAGTCTGGTGATAGTATAGCGTGGAATTGTTTATAATATTGGGCTGTAAAGCCATCAAGGCCAGGGTTTTTGTTTAAGGGCGTGTGTTTGATAGCTAATTCGGCTGAGGTTGCACAGCAGAGGTGTGTTAAGGGGTTTCTGCACCCTTTTTGCAGTCATAGCTCGCTGTTCTCTGGCTGTGGAGCGGGTTTATTGCCTCGATGCTTGGGAGCTCCTTAATCAAGCGGCCATCTTGGTGCTCAGGTAGACATGTCCCCAATCTGCTTTTTTTTTTAAATTATTTATATTGTTTACACACTCTAGTAAATTTGTAGTGAAAGGAACACAATGCTGGCTCAGTATATATTTAAACATAAGACTAGAGAAGTTAAAAGTCATGCTTTTTATTTCTTAAACGGGTTCTCACCTCTTCTGCCTCCTTTGCCAGCTGACTGAAGTAATTCTCATCCAGTGGTGACCTGGTACATGAAAGATTATAATATAAGATATGGACAAGAATTGCACTGGTCCATTTGATATTAGATTATGACTCATTCTATTTAGATCAGGATTGGTCAACTGATAGATCCCCAGATGTTAAAGAACTATAATTGCCATGGTACCCTGCCAGATTTAAGAATGGCATAGTATCAAAAAAGTTGCAGTTCTACAACATCTTGGGATCTGCGTTTTGCCCACCCCTAAATTAGATACTTTGACTACCTGTAGATTCCATGAACTCATAAGAATGTTCGTCTGTTTTTTTTCCATGAATTTAAAGACGCCATTGGCTCAGTATTACCATGAATGCACAGCTGTACGCACTTAGAATTTAAAGGAAGACATATACTCCCAACAAACCCCTACAAATAGAGGTTTATGTGTGATATACTGTATAGGTAGAACTTTATAGGTTTTCTTCTGATGCGTCATGGACACAAGGAGAGTTGTGTTAGAGCATCATTTTTGAGTGATGTTCTAACAGATGCTTTCTTGTATTTTAGGTGCCTGGAGTGTTTCTTTTAGCAAACAAAAAAGCAAATGTCTGTGCCACTTTTAAGGGCTTAAAACTGCACCATTGAAGAAAATTTTAAAAATAACCTATAACTTGTATTATTTTTCATGTTTTGCTCTGTTCTTTTAGGACGTAACAGTCCAGTCCAGTTCAGTTAAGGCCCAGGCAGGGCCAGGGGAGGGCAGGCAATGTTTGGCCTAAGTGGGCAAATAGAGAACATTGTTCTTTTCCCTCACAAAACACATAGATCTCAGAATGGATGGTCCATTCACACGGAGTCACGTGGTGTATGCAATGTATGGGATTGATAGATGAAGTCTGCAGGAGTTGCATCATATATCTATGCAATCTCCTTCAGTAAGACTTGTACAGCATGACGGAGCATTCACAAAACCCTGTCAGAGATGCAGACTCTGTTTCCTACACGGACACTGGGTGTGTATCAAGAATGTCATGGTCACGGTCTTATCTCACCTCCCAATACACTCAATATGTTTAGTCCTCAATTTACGATGGCTCGAAATTACAACCAGCTCTCTAGTGCGGGGACTAGAGGGATTCCCCACGTTAGAGCTGGTCTTTGTTCAGGGAATATTCCCTGAACATAGAGTACAGGGATTCCCGGCTCTGGAGAACCTTGCTAGAGAGACATAGTAAGAAAGATCAGAAGTAAAATTCAAATCAACCTGACGAAGGTGCATGTAGCTCTGCACCGAAACGCGCGTCAGGCATTCTTACTTTTTGTTTTATCACTGGGCACTTTATTTTTCACTAATGGCTAGCATGTTGCTTTGATAATTCACTTATTTTGAGTTTTACTTCTGATCTTTCCTCCTATGTCTGTCTAGCAAGCTTAACAGGGAGTGAGGCTTTGCTAGTTTAACTTTTTGCCAGTCTTTTACTGGAAATAGCATTTTTCATCTTTCTCTAATCGGCTATATTGTATATACCTATTTGGCCACCCAACAGGCTTTATTTGACTCATTTAAACAGCCCTTCATGTCTCATACAGGCTGACTTTACCTTGACTCTTAGGCCCATGTCGTGCTATGTGTACTGATTGACTACATAGCTTCTCTTTCCTTGAAGCAATCAATTGTTTGTATGTAGAGCCATATTTAATAAAGCTTTTTTTTTTATTATTGTGATATAAGCCTTGTGAGACTTTGTACAATACTTATTTTGAGATAGGAGGTTTACTGTACAAGGTGTTTATTTATTTTTTCTTTTAATACTGTACTGCAGAATCTCAGAGGACATTTTACTTTGCTAAAGGTTAATTACTTTATATTTAGCAATACTACTATCTATATCTCCAGGAAGCATTGTATGTTCCCTTGTGGTGAACCTGCATGCTCTGTTTTGTCTTTCTTGATTATCTAGGGCTATGCCCTGAGAGACCCCTGGAGTCTCTCTTTGGTGCCTAGAAGCATTGGGAAACACTCGGACACATTTCACTTAGAATTGTGTCTATAGTTGTCTCCCTTTGGTATCCTATCTCTATACTTCTTAGCTAAAAGATAAGGCCAGGGACTAATGAAAGTATTTAGAAAATTGGGCAGACTAGATGGGCTGAATGGTTCTTATCTGCTGTCACATTCTATGTTTATAATATATTTCAATGTTAGCAACAACAACAAAAAAAAGTCATTTATTGAATAAAAGATAGACTTACTTTTTACTAGGATTGGACAACATATTGGATCGTGGTCGGATGACAGGGGCAGACTTATGCAGAGAGACTTTTTGTGGTTTTGGGGAGGAGAAGTCTAAAAAAAAAACCCAAGAAATAAAATCACTGGTTTTATCAGAAAACTGTCAGGGTTATTTACTAAAGTGAGAATTCAAAGTGAGTTTCAAATTTAAGTTTATAGTAGCTGAACTGAGAGCATAACGGACTTGACCCTGAATTTTCACTTTAGTTAAAAACCCCATGTGCCTTTTGCACATGAGCATATAAGCTTGTAGATAATATAATAATTATCGCTTTGGCCATTTGTAATGGATATTATCAACTTACCATCATCCCCAAGGAGGTCCCCAAGCACATCATCAATGGAATCTGTAATGTGGGACAAGTCAGTGTAATATCTTGGAGAGGAACAAGCACATGCAATAATGCAACAAAAAATGTGTTTAACCCCTTAAGGACACATGACGTGTGATGTCATGATTCCCTTTTATTCCAGAAGTTTGGTCCTTAAGGAGTTAAAAGGGAAAACAAAACAAAAAATGAAAAGAGAAAAAAACATTGAAAAACGCAATACGCAATAAACAGATATTTACAAAGAGAGAAAAAGAAAAAAAAAGGAGGGAAAGAGAGAGGAACATGCTGGATGCTAAAGGTGACCATATTTGTAGAAACAATAAGAAAACCGCCTTCCCTTCAATCCAAGGTGCTTAGCTGGACCTCAGGTGGGCAAAGCCTTCGTCAAATAGTAGAAAAAACAGGATGATCTAGACACTTAAGGTTTATATATCAAACAGATTTATTGGAGAAACACAGAAACGTATTTACCACCTCCACCAAGGTCTTTATCAAGTTACCACCCCCAAGCATAAATCCATAATACCTATATAAGGCATGCATCCAGCATGTACACACAAAGTGATATTTAAACATATTCTAACACACGATGAACACTAACCACAATACGACCGTACATTCACAGTCTAGAAAACGTGCAGATATAACAGACGTTTGTGTGTTGCCAAGGTTTCCTGTACCAATACTTTTTATAAACACTATGAAGTCAATTGCTGTGGATTGGGATGTTCCTAAACGAGTATCGAGCATACCTTGTGTTAATTCTGTTCCAATTACCATTCACGTATACAACCACGTCACAGTTTGAAGTTAAAAGAGGTATAGACCTGATGGCCCAACTGTCAGGAGAAGAATGGGTGCTCTGTTGAAAACTACCTTCCTACAAGGCTAGCACACCACTTATGTACCACGGATCCACTAACATCACACAATACAACAGAGAAATTTTAAAAGATGGCACAATTGGTGTGCTTATAATAAAATGAAATAGTGTGGATAATAGGTGTAAATCAGAAAACACATAAAGTGAATATACCAGCAAAACAATTATATTGCACTTGTGAAACACACAGCAAGCATTCATTGGCTTACACGTAAAGCAACATTCTAGGCATCAATACAACTTCATCTAAATTAAGTTGTTATTGTGCCAGGAGGGGCCGCGGAGGCATGCTTACCTCAAGGGGTTAAACAATTTTCAAGTGGTTTTACCCCAAGGTTGCCTCAAATGCAGATCTTAGCTCCTCCTCGGGCATCATCCGGTTTCTGAATTCTCAGATTGAGGAAGCACGGAGCGCTGCCAAATAGGGGCGCCGCTGATTGGCTGAAAGCGGTGAGCTGACGCTCTAAGCCAGTCAGTCACTCTCCATTCACAAAACTGGCGTGGAAAAGGTACAATTCTTTTCAAGCCAGTTTAGTGAATGGGGAGTTGCTGATTGGCTGAGAGCACTCAGCCAATCATCAACGCCCTTGCCCAGCAGCACTCCAGGCTTCCTGAATCTGAAAATTCAGAAGCTGGGTGCCACCTGGGGAGGAACTGAGACCGGCGCTGGAGGCAACTTTGGGGTTAAAACGTTTGAGAATGGTTTAACCCCTTAAGGTAAGACTGCCTTTGAGGACCAAATGGCACCATAACAACTTCATTTAGATGAAGTTGTTTTTGTGCCTGGGGTGTCCCTTTAAGATAGTCTAATAGCATTCAAATTGAGCTTGCAGTACAGGGAACAGTCAAAGAAAGTGTGGTAGTACAATCTTGACACTGTAATAACTTGAAAAAATAAAAAACAAAACAAGTTAACTGACTGTTAACAGAACTTACAACTGATAGTCATCACCTACTAGACTTGTTTCCTGTGACTTGTATTTGGACTTTCATTGCCACTCCAGTGGCAAGTGCGTCTAAAAGTGCAATATATTTTATTCTACTGATTTTATCGGCGTGTGTTTTTTTAGTTTTTTTTTTTAAAGCTATTAAAGCGTTTCAAGATTGTACTACCACACATTGCGTGACTATTCCCTGAACTGCAAGGTCAATTTAAAAGCCATCACACCATCTTAAGTGTAAGCCAATTTACTCTTGCTGTGTGTGTTCACCTGTCCAATATATTAGTTTTACTGGTATATTCACTTTATATGGTTTGTCATTTATACCTTTTATCCACACTATTTCGTTTTTATTACATTTGTTTGTACAGTGATATTGAGGATTAAGCTATGTGTGGAGATATTGGAGGTTACCACTAAATTTCTTTGGTTGTTTTCGTTATAATAAAATGAACCTGTGGAGCAAAAATTGTTTTAAAGGGTCACTTTGGGCAATATTGAGATAAAGTTGTTATGGTGCCCGGAGTTGTAGCAATACTATTCCCAAGCCAAATGGTACATCTGTCAACCAACCATGAGAAAGGGAATTAAAATGCATAACTGACGTGACGGGTGAAGAAAAGGAAAGGAACTCTTTTCGTAAATATGAGAGGGATGCAAACAATAAAAAAAAAGAAATGCATATAAACCGAGCAGAAATTGGTTGAGCTTACACACCTTGTAATCCTTTCTTACGTCTAGCAGCCTAAACGAGAATACAAGAAGAAAAAAAACACATTAGTAAAATGGAGGTACCACACATTGAGTAATTTGTATTTTTGTATAATTTACTCATATTACAAACATGGCGGAAAAAGTAGAACAACTCATGATAAGACTACTAACGAATTTAGCAAATAATTGATCATCCAAACTCTCCATCTCATGATTAACATTGAGATCTCAGAACACACAATTCATTTATTTTAGATTTATGAAAATGCAGCTTGCAAAGAAAGCAGTGCAAAGTTGAAAGGTGGCAGCAATCACCATGGAAACCAGTGGAATAAGGAGAAGGATTCTCTTGGTTTCCATGGTGATTGCTCCAGCATTAGAACCTTGCCCCGTTTTTTAATTATAAAATTGTACCATTGCATCATCAATGCCCCCATCATTACTTTAGACAAGGAGTGCTTTGCAAGACCCCTGTTTTTGCTCACCATGCTGGAATTTGGGGGTGCACCCACCCTTGCACAGCCTGTTATGACACCTGGTTCAGGGGATCACACAGCATGAATGGCAGGTTCTATCACTGATATGAGAATGTCCCACAGGGAAGGTTCAGCCCGTTGTCATAGAATCCTGATCATTTCTGATTCGAATTAGCTGCAGTTACATTGTATCCAGTCACTTCAACCGTTCTCTCTTAGCTTCCTTCACAACCAGCACGTCCGGATTTCAATGCAAAGCATCACGGGAGATGTAGTTCCCAAAATTTGCACAACGCATGCTTTGAAAGAAGCACATCCTGTGTTGGGAATAGAGCATCACGGGAGATGAGTTGGTAAGCTGCTATGGAGTTATTGAGGACAGTGTACCTGCTTAGTGTACATTTTTATTACCCTAGAATGGAGTTAATATAAGTGTCAGACCTTTTGACCGGTGTTCTAAGATCTAGATTATCAGCAATTGCGTACTGTAAAAAGATTTCACAAACTGGACTTTATAAAAAGTAGACTTTTCCAGACTTTAACATTTTTGTTAAAGGATTCTATTGTAAAAAAGAAAAATGCCATATATATATATATATAAATGTTTTATTTATTTTTAACAAATATTTGTTTCTGAGATCTAAAAATATAAATATTAAATGTAGAAATCCACACTGTTTTATGCTGGAGATGAGGACTAACATCATTGTGTAAATCTGTTACATACCTATGGAGAATCATTTGGAAAAATAGGTTAGCAAAATGTGGTTTATTCAATTATGTAATGTCCAGGGAAGTGATGGTTTCCCTTTAAAACATTGCCCTCTAATGGAAACTAAAAGGGCTACTCCAGGCATCATAACCACTACAGCCTGCTGGGAGTACCAGTGTACCGTTCCGTAGTAAGGGTCTAATTTGTTTAGCAAAAGTTTGCCTCTTACGTGTGTCCCTCTGGGTGCCAAGTCTCAAAATATGGTGGTAAAAGCGGCTTCTTCAGTATACCTCCCAACAATCTGGAAGGGGTCGCTTGATCCCCGAGGAGGCATTGCCAGTGGCATGATCAGCAGGAGCGCATCTAATTAAATGCTTATGCTGTGCTGCCCTGGAATAGTTTAATAGTGTCCCTCAATCGCAGAACACCAGGGAACAGAATGGCGTGACAGGACCCCAAAAGCAGGACTACTGGTCATTCAATGACTCAGTCCGCTGAGCACTCTCAGCCAATGAATGCGTGTCTGTGCAAAACAATATGCACAGAATTGATATTAGCAGCAAGCCCAGAACTCTTGGTGCAGTTACACCTCGTGTGTGCAGCAATGTGCTTTTATTAAAATTTTCAATACGTTTATTATTTGTTTTCTATCCCAGACCTTTTATTAGGTTATAGGTAAAGTGGATTAAGTATGGGGTGCCAGGTTATAGAGCCAAACACCTTATATTTAAAAAAAAAAAAAGTCATGGTAAAAACACATTAAAATAACAATTTAAGTAAATAGAACAGAAAAATTAAGGTGTATAGACAAAAACTTTAGCAAAGCTGTTCTATGCCTCCACCATCCAAGTTAAATGGAGTTATCACTTTGGAGTACTTGGAGAGATTACCGGTTAGTAAACTGAAATCTGGTGCCCCCCTATCGAAGTCCTGGCAGGTTTTGCACAGAGCTGAGAGCTTCCTGCTTCTATATAGAAGGCAGGAAATGGGGAGGTTTTGACCTCATGGAGTAATAGTGAGTGTATTATTGAAACAACACGATTCACATAGATGTGGTATGTTCATTGCATATGATACTCTCCTTGTGTCTTTGCACACATTGACTTATAACTGCAGCAGTTAGGTAGTCTACAGTGAGTGTTTGCTATCTCAATTTCCCACCAACATGCAGTCCATGTTGTGCTCAGACTTAACTTCATATTCTGTAAACTCCATGCTGGATAAGGCCAGCTCAAAGTACTAATTTGTTTATGCATTTATAATACATTTTTGTTTTAACCTTTTTTTTATGTAAATTGTATCATGGGTTTTTATTTGATATGTTTTGATGGGAACAGACTCTGAACAATTAAGCAGGCCCTATGTCAGAGTATGACCAAGGTTTAAGAAAAGAAGAAAAAAAAGTAGTGTTTCAAGACCTCTAAACAAGCTTGTGTGCAAACCAACATTTCATCAAGATGAGAATAGTCCGTAGGGAGGATGAAAATCGATCTGGCCAGTTGGATATTACAGTTAACATCAACTACTTGGGCATGTCACGTTTACACCTGGAACAGTTTGTATTCATTCAGAAATCAATACTGAAGAAATTGTCTTGTTGCCTTAGGATCACAGCTTTATGCTTGTTTGTTGGTTTCCTTCAGAATGAGATGTCCTTCTTTATCAAAGATACGTGCTTGGCTGAAACAATCACATAGGAACTGGCTGGTTAAATTATCCCTTGGGAGTTAACTCAACTGGATGAAGGACGTGGTATAGAAAAACAACTTTATGGGGGTTAGACAATTCTGAAACTCTTGTGAAAGTTCATGATGCTTTGCACAGTTATTTAGCCAATTTTCCTTCTTTTGAAGATGCTGGAACTGGAGTGGAGAAGCTGGACGTAGGCAGGGTTAATATCGAAAGTGAGAATAGTCAGGAATTTTAAAATTAAAGGCCAAAATAAACAAACTCAAAAGATTCTCCAAGTCAACTATGCTTTCATTGCAGCTCCTGTAACCTTAAATTTCCAATTAATTTTGAATTTCTGACAATTCCCACTTTAGCCAATAGCCTTGTGTAATTCACATAGCTCCAGAGATGGGCTGGATAATACCTTGGAACCAGGAACTTTATATAAAATGTTCTGATGCCCTGGTATTTTTAATTTAGAACCTAAAGGAACAAATGTGTATTCCTAACATTAGAATTCCCTAATATCATTTAGGTGACCAGGCCCCAACTGCCAGTGATTAAAAAAAAAAAAAAAAGTGATGTTACTTAACTTTTCTCCCCCCCTCAGCTCTGGTTTCCACAGCTGGTCCACTTTTTTGGTAGAGATTAGCGAGATCCATGATCTCAGCCAATCCAATGCTTTCTCCATAGGAAAGCATCTTGTCAAGACTTATTGAAAAAGGGCATTACTCGAGATATTTGCTGTACTCGGTCCTTCAATAAAACTCTGTAGCACTGGTTGGGCACATAGCATTTTGTTGCGCTGTCCTTATTTTTTCAATTCTTGTAATCTCACTATTCCCTGCTTGGAGCTACAGTGTGAGGAGCATGCAGCACAACATTTTTTGCCATTTTGTGGATACTAAAGTAACCTATACCTCTATTGTATGTTTTGTGGCCCCTTATCTGGAGTCTGTTAGCATTGGTCATCTCCTCCAGGAGAGCCAAAAGCTCTATGCTCTAAGTTTGCCCGGTAGTGCAGGGAGGCAGTCATTAGAGGAGAGTGTTCAGCTTACCCTCTCAACCAATAAGCTGGACTAACACAAAGTCTCAGCTCAGAGGAGCCAATATAAGCTGTGTGCAGGAGCTTTCGTCTCTCTTGTAGGCCGTAACAGGCAATCCAGCAGTAGAAGTAAGGTGTCAAGCCATCTGACTACTTATCTTGTGAGGATGCCCAGGCACTGTATAATCAGCTACCAAACTGAAAGCTGTAATGGACAATGATGCACTAAATGCACATCTCCAGACTCATCAGCTGAGAGGCATTGACCAATGTGGAACACAAAAAGCAAAACTTGTCATTTTTCCATATCAGTGTACCTTCCAATCCTTTATCTAACTGGCCAAATATCTGCACATCTCATGTTCTCAATACACAAACAGACAGGAAGCAGAGAAAGAAATCAGTGAGGTTTATTGACAGTTTATATTACAGGATTAATTACACTTAATTTAAGTCTAATTATCACCTTGTTTTTCTAGTCTGTAATTCTAACATACCTTTATGGCTCTGCATTTCCCATGTTATTCCTACATTCATCCTTAAAGCATCATGAAGGTCAGTACAGAAATATTAAAATAATGAGTTAGAACATTATTTATCCTATCCATTCCACTGGCTGCATAGTTACAAATTTCCATGCCTAAAAATGAGTGGACAGGAATGAGCGAGTATCTGGGTGGAAATGTGTTTATATAACATTCTAAGTGCCATAAGAAACATGGATATGTAATAAAGTGAGAATTCAAAGTGATTTCAAATTTAAGGTCACAGTAGCTGAACTCATAGCACAGCTGTCTGAGACTTTTTCCTTTTTGACCTTAAAGATGAAAATCACTCTGAATTCTCTCTTTAGTAAATAACACTAACTGTGTAGTGTTGCTCACCCAAGTACATCTTAAGAGCAGTACATATTTTTTGGCTATGGATCAATGATAAAGTAATGTTATGTTTGTTCCTTAGTTAATAGAGTTCTAAGACCTAGATCATTTGTCAGGTTCCTCCAGTTGTCCTTTGTTAAATGAATGAACTGGTCAGTTAGCATGTTGAATGGGGTACAAACATGTGCCCTATACACATCCTATGATGGTAAAGTTGGATTCACATAGCACTTACTCTACAGATGGGCTTTAGTGTAGCTGTTACTTTAAGTGGAATAATAGCTGGAGAATTCTAAAATTCACTTTTACATTTTCCACAAATCACATTTCAGTAAATAACCCCAACAGTGTTTCACAGACCATCTTTGAAATCAAGAAGGTCCACGTTCAAAAATCCCAATTTGAAACAAGCATCTTGATGGAACTAGCTCACACTGGTAACCAACTGTTTGCCATAGCAATGAAGAAAACCCATGAATAAGTTTGTTACAGCTTCTGAGTGAGAGATGGTTACAAAGCTGGATAAATTACATTGACAAGACAAGGTGAGTTTGCAAGATCTCAAATGGGACTCGAGGATATTTTACAGTATACCCAAATCCTATCAATTAAGATAATTTTGTAGCAGTAGGTAGAATGATTCCATTTCATTTCTCAGACACAGAGCTCAGATTATTACAAGTAGTCAGACTCGTCTACCGGTGTGGGCTGTTTGAAGACCAATCACAGCTTGGATTGCAATGGTTTGAGGTACTTGTGGTATGATGCGTGCACCTGAAAGTAAAGGAAAATGATAGAGAGAAAAGTAAACGGTTAGCTTAAATTTCTAAATCAAATTTACCATGTACGAAGAGGATATCTGTTAGGAAAGTCAAAGCCAAGATCGGTGGTAAATAATTGGAAGTCACAGGAGATGATTGCAGAGTGGAGGGAAGAAGAGAGATTCTAAAATAAAAATTGGGGAATTGGCACTGAACTCTGTTTCCATCCTTTACAAAAGGTTATTACACTTTTTTTACTCCCATACACAGAATGTAACTGTTATATGTACCATTTTATGTGAATATAATATTTCTGTTCACAGTTTATATGCAGATCACATTGGCCTCTAATTAGTTTGGATCAGCGTTTCAAATGATTATAATGTGTTTAAAGAGCCTTTTGAACAGATTGTGATCATTTTAAATGTTGAGCCAGACAAAATTAAACTAAGGCCATGGAAATATAAACGGTTTATGAGGTGGCAGGATTTTGAGTTTCATTTGGGAGGAGAGTTCTAAATGATTCTTTAGCCACAAAATTTTTAATAGACACTCCAAACACAAAGCAATCTGGCTTTCATTTAGTATTTTCTATAGTCTTTATTTAAGTACAGATGTGGAAGTACCAAATACTGGTAAAAGATGAATAAATTAATAAAATATGTAATTGGCCTGCACATTTTACAAAAAATAAACAGTCTATTAGTTTAAAACATTACAGTAAACCTAAAAAAAAAATAATGTGAAACAAACATGGGGGTTATGACAACGTATGATCATACTGGTCCTATGGACCATTAATGTTCTCAGAGAAGAAATGTGCAGGAGTGTTAGATGTTCTATTGTCAGGTTCAGTTGGATGAGATCTGTGAAATGTAGTTTACCAAAAAGACACACATTAGAAGACACATATTTTCCAGCTCTTGCACTGTTCCCATGGAGCCCAAACGCTATGATATGTTGATAGTGTGTTCCTAACCTGTATGGTCGGTAGTAGAAAATGGCTTAATTCATGGAATAATATCAATGCAGCCACTCAGTAAGATCATAGAATCTGAGCTGTGGCCAAGTAGTTTGTCAAGTAATTAAATTCATGATTTTTCATATAGATGTTAACATTAAAATAAATAAACTCCCCACAAGATTCTATAAACTAATGTAAGCTAACCAGCCCTATTACAGTAAACATGTCATCCACAAATCATATTTTATTATCAGATTTCTATTTTAACTTTACATTTATTTTTATTACTGTATTTATGCATTCTCCTGTCTGGCATTTAAACTGACGTGGTGGTGTCTTTGCTCCTTAACGCATCTTACCTGGGTCTTATTCAGTGGTGACTTCTTGGCCCACTCGAACATGTTTTCATAGACATTTCCATCGTACCTCCCCAACACAGAACCCAGCTGAGCATCTGTGTAATCAAATGCATCCACCAGGGCGACTGCATTGGGTCGGATCACAGCCAGCAGATCCTTGACTCTCTGGTGGACCTGCTCTATCTGCAATGCACTGAGAAGGCCAGCCTGGTAGCAAGAAGAATCAATAATGTCATAAGAACATCAGCATTTTAAGATAGATATCACACAAAAATCAGATAGAAGACCTCTCTCGATATCCATTTATATGTATTTCTGCACTCACTTGAGCATGCATACATTATAAGGGTGCTGCTGAGACCAATTCATACAACAAAATCCTATTTAACCTTGCACTGCAGAGAGTCCCAGGAATAAGCATTTCCCAAGTAAGTGGGTTAATCTCATCTAAGTGAAGAATGGGGTACATTGGCATTGTTGGAGACTTATGCAATGTATGACCATATACTATAACTTATGCCTTAATCTTCGCCCTGCATCTTAATGATATTTTGTGTTGTGCACAGAAATTTAAAACCATCTTGCTCTTTATGATGCAGGAGTTAGAACAAGCTGTATGTGTTAATCA